TCTCGTTCTTGCTCAGGCTGGTCTCAAACTCCTGAGCTCAAGCGATCCTCCCACCTCAGTCTCCCTTACAGGACTGAGCCACCATGCCCGGCCTTGCAGTTTCCTTTAGATTGCATGCTAGTGGTGATGCCTCCAAAGGCAGTGGAAGCTCAAAAGTTGTATATTCACACTGAGGTCAGTCTTACAATAGTTGTAATTCCAGTGTATATTAATTATTGATCTGATGGTAGGTAATCATTCCCTCATCATCCCTGTATCTATCTCCATTGAGATGGCAGTACATTCTGTTAAGAAGAGGGTGTTCTTTTTTTCTTTTTATGTAAAGCATTTGGGGGAAAGATTTTATCTGTCCACGGAATCTTCCTTCCGAGTACATCCATATAGTGGGAAAAGAGTAGGTATGATAACCTTGGTGATTATTGAGTTTAAGAAAGAACAGGAATATAATTTCATTTATGCAAAAAAACTTTTTTGCTGCATTTTACTGCTTGATACTAGAAATTAAATGATGAGTATGACATGGTCTCTTCCTTCCAGAGTCTAAAGAAAATTGCTACTTTTCTCCTCTTTAAAATAAAAGGGAGTATACTAATAATATCAAGGTAAATATACATGTCTTTTTAGTGGGATATCTAATTTATGTTCAGAAAAGCATCAAGGCTAGAACATAAAGGTTTTCAAGACCAAGGTTATTATACTACATAAAAGGACAGAAATATGTTGTTTTGGGCCCTTGGCTTTCAGGGAGAATCTAGTTTTGTGGCTGAGTTCTGTCACCTATTTTTTTTTTTTTTTTGAGACAGAGTCTCACTCTGTCACCCTGGGTAGAGTGCAGTGGTGTCATCGTAGCTCACTACAACCTCAAATTCCTGGGCTCAAGCGATCCTTTTGTATCAGCCTCCTGAGTAGCTGGGACTATAGGCGCCCACCACTACGCCCAGCTAACTTTTCTATTTTTAGTAGAGATAGGGTCCTGCTTTTGCTCAGGCTGGTCTTGAACTCCTGAACGCAAGCATTTCTCCCGCCTTGGCCTTCCAGAGTGCTGGTATTACAGGCATGAGCCACTGCGCCAGGCTATCTACTCTCTTTCTAATGATTTTATTTTACTGGAAATTTTACCATTAGGATTAAGCCCTAGAGGTAGTAGTAAGTCTTTTCCAAACTTCACTTTAGGAGCAGTTTGAGAGCAGCTATAAAATGCAATCATATTAAGAAATATCCCAAACCTTAGATCTTTTAAGAAAATAGTTACCTTGGGAATTTTTCCCAAGGAATGATTGAAAGATATTACCTATTGGTATTTGTTCACTGTGGGTTAGGTACTGTGTTGGTCCCTTTATAAATACCGTGTTTAATTTCAAAGCAACCCTATGTTGAAATAGCACTATTTTATAGTTGAAGAGAGTGAGTCTTGGGTTAAATAACTAGCAGAAAGGTCCTGTAGCTTGTATGTGGCAGAGACAGGTTCGAAGTCCAGAGCCAACCCCTTGAATACCCTGGGTCAGTTTATAACTTAGCATTAACATGACCCTGTATTTATATGATTAAAGTTTTTGAACCCATTTACTGAGTTATGGTAAGGTTTTGTGTATTTCCAAAGTACTCACCTTAACTTTGATAGAAACAACTTTTGTCAAATACTTGTTTTATTGGTTTATTAATATTTTATTAAGCTATGTAATACAGTAATTACAATACAATACAATAACTGCTTAGTAAGGATACTGTTTGGTAAGGGCAGATGTGCTACAGCATAGTCTGTGATGTGTCATGGCACAGAAATAATGGAGCGCGTTGGTTAACGAGGTGTCAATTAGGGGAGCTTCCATGTGGCTTACCATGGAGTTGAGTTTCAGAACAATTTGGAGAATTGGAATAATGCAGAAACATAGTCCTCCAAAATAGTTATTTGGAAGGTTAATACTTTACAAATAAAATCCTTTGCATGTGTGTTAAAAAATGTAAAAGCATAATACTCTCAGAATCAATTTTCTCTTAAATATTGGTGTGTCAAGTTATCATCTAATCAGTCTTTTCCACTTTTTATGCCACATACTCATTTTTTACTCCATGTTCCTTCTGCCTAATCTCATGGTTTTTCCTCCTTTATCAATTCCCAATCTGTATCTCTGGTCCAAATATCTCTCTTATGCTCCAAGCAACTATGTCCAACTTGGTTGGATATACCACAAATACTTCAAAATCTATGTGTCTCAAGAAAATGATGTCCATACCTCCCAGTACCTTTTCTGTTTCATCATCTACTGAGATTTCCCCAACCAAAAAACTGGGAGCTGTTTGTTACCCCATTTATTAGTTTGCTTGGGCTGTTATAATA